CTCATACAAAGCAGAATTCACTGCCTTCTTTACATTAATTTTCAACTCAACAAATTAAATACCAAGAAATTTGGGGCAACTAATAGCAGCACCTGCCATTAGGAACTATAGATCTACTTTCTATTTGACCATATCATGGTGCAAGATGCTTGGTCACTTCCTGGAACATGGAAAGTCCGAAGTGGTTGATTTGAAGCAGGACCTGGACTATGCACTTCTAAAAACCACCCCAAGCGGTTCTGAGGAAAGTAAGCTCTAGACCTTGTTTTCAAAAAACAAAACAAAACAAAACAAAACAAAAATAACAACCAGATACTGATTCTACAAAATTAATGTTAATTCTTTAGCGTGTCTTCAAGGCTCTTCATGATCTGACCCATGGAACTCTCTGACCAGCCAAAACCTTGACAACTACCCAGAGACCTGAGCTTCTAACCCCTTCAAGTTCTACCATTTCCAGAACAGGTCATTTTACTCACACAAAGGAAAGTGGCCCCTGACTCTGGATGTGAAACCTGGCTCCGCCATTATTAACTGTGTGACTACGAACCAGGTAACAACACTCTCTGACTCAGTTTCCAATCCACAGTTTTCTGTCTCTTAGGGTTGCTATGAGTAGACAGGTTAATACATGTATAACACTTTGAAGAAAAGAATAAGAAGAAACCAAGCACTCCAAAGTTTTCAATAAATATTAGCTGCTTTATCCGTAAATATCTTTATCATTATTATTACTCCTACACATAGACTTAGTTTCCTGGAACACACTCCCCACCCTTCTACCCTCAAGACTCAATCTCAAAGACAACTTCCTATGAAATTTCTCCAACAATCCAGGCAGATGGATGTTTTCTTCCCCTATGTCCAACTTCATCTCTAGACTTAAGGTACAGACCAAACATGTTCATCCTCAAATCCCCAGGGATTTGACACAGTAACTTATTTAAAAAAAAAAAAAAAAAGTTTCCAAATAAACGAACAAATCATTTTTTTCCCCAAAATTACTGGAGGATATACCATGACAGTCCTTGACAGAAAACGTACTGCTTTGGCAAGTGTTGAAAGCTTTGATGAAAATCAGCAAATGCTGGTACTCAACAGCTCCCCTGTGGGTCCACACCACCGTGCATGGGAGTGTCAGGCTCTTACGTCACCTCTTCAGAGGCCTTTTCTGATACCCAGAACAGCGTGGGTTCTGAATGCCCAGATCACGTGTATTCTCTGTATTTCTCATTTTCATATCTACATACTGAAGGTGATACTTGCATTATTCCCAGTCTTGACGGCATGAGTTGAAATTCAGTGACACAATGGAGGGGAAGATCTTTGCTCCAAAAAAATGGAAGCATCACAGTTATTTTCAATACAAACAAGCAGAAGTGTTAGCATTTCAAACTGATCATTAGTGTACTAGTTTACTTGTCCAGAGAGCACTACACAGCAAAGTCCTTGTTTAACCTATCTTGAAACCTGTCTCTACTCCTATCTTGAAAGTACAGAAGGAAATGTCAGTTCTCCTAGGCAGAAGAGGAAAGTAATATAGAAAACGTTTGATCAGGGACTTACTGGAACATCATATACTCTATCCTGGGAGCAAGCATGCTTGAAACAGGCCTATAATGACAACCAGGCATATACACCCGCCCTGCCCCCCTTATGCAGCATTCAACATCAAGGCAAGAGAACTAAGCTCTCATTCCAGTAGAGAAGACACATCTTTCCTGCCAATGAAATAAACTGTTGAGGCAGGACAATTGATATTACCCTTTACAAAGGTTTAAGGGGTGAAGATGCTTGCCTGATAAACACTTACTCAATAATACATATGTTCCTACTTTCAAAGCTTATTTTGACAATTTTTAAAGTTATATTTTCAGTAAGTGATGTAACAAGATTAAAGTAATGGTGTTCATTTGTGCAACTTTTAGGAAACTGGCTGAGTCAGCAACTCCATGCTTAAATACTATATTATAGGTCAAATGCTTAGAATTTTAAGCAAACCATCTTTTCTTTTCTTTTTTTAAAGATTTTATTTATTTATTTGAGAGAGATCACAAATAGGCAGAGAGGCAGGCAGAGAGAGAGGAGGGGAAGCAGGCTCCCCGCTGAGCAGAGAGCCCGAAGTGGGGCTCGATCCCAGGACCCTGGGATCATGACCTGAGCCGAAGGCAGAGGCTTTAACCCACTGAGCCACCCGGGCGCCCCGTAAACCATCTTTTCAACAGAGATGAACTTGAAGGACCTAAGTTCAACTTTGATTAGTAACCAGGTGCATGCTTTTTGGGATATTAATATGCCATATGGCATGAGCAAAATTTTTCTTTTATACTGCCCTTAGTCAAAGCAAAGAGCCAAGTGCATATTTAAATAAAGTTCTGTTTCTCTTTTAATCCTTGATTATAACCAAAAATAAAAAGGAGGTCACAAATTCAATGTCAACAAGACCTGACAAATGGAAAGAGCATGCCAAGTCACCAACATCAAATCTATTATATATAAATATTATTTCCGTATTTCCTCCCCAAAGTTTAATGTCTGGACTTTTCTTCTCTGTGCCGTTTGCAACTAATTCAACACTCTTTTTGATAAATAGTCACTAAAATGTAGATGACTTTCCCATCACTGTTTTACATCTAGGTTCAAGTCATACAAAGAGCTGCTACAAATGATTTACACAACATGCCAGGACTGGAAAGTTGAATATGATAATTCTAAAAATGAGGTAAGGCTTTGTTGTGGCAAGAAAACGTGTTTTAAGAAAATACTATAAATATTCAGAGAGATAACTGCCATAAATATTAAGATACTACCTCAGCAACTTGCTCAAATCCTTAAAGTATGTAAGATCAGTTCTTTCCAAGACAATTTCTTGTGGAGTATCAAGCGCAATTCTTAATACCACCCGGAGACCCGGGAGGATGTAATCTATCTACTTGTCTCATCCCCATCTTGTCCGGGGCTGCAACAAAAAGGACCCCCTTCACTTCCTAAGCATGCCACATTCTCTCTCCCTGGAATGCTCTCCTCCCTTTTGGCTTAACTTGTTCTCATCCTTCAGATCCCAACTCAAAAGTCACCTCGTAGGAAGAAACTTTGTGATCATTCCTGCCAGACCTAGATCTTACTCCAGAGCAATTTCATAGTTTGTAATTATACACTCATTTGCATGACATTAACATCTGCTTCCCCCACTGAATCCATAAGATTGGAAGGCACTTCTGTTTTCCTCACCTTAAGCTCCCAGCCCCTACCATATATCCAGTATATAGTAGGAACACTGTAATTAATTGTGGAATGAATATTTATTAATAAATGTATAAATCCTTTGACCTTCCAAATTGGAATAACCTTCCTCACAAAATTACTTAGCAACTATGATTTAGTTTACAGCCTGAAGAGCACAGAAGAAAGAACACAGACTTTAGAATATGCCTTCACAAGCCCTGTGAGCCTGAGAAAAAGAATTGGCTAATCTCCTCCTGCTTATTTGGCAAGTGAGATAACATCTCCTTCCCAGGATTGTCAAGAGGATCACAGGGAAGATGATAAGTGGAAGAAAGAAGCTTGTGTAATGGGAGGAGACAAATCAATGAACATATTTATTAACTCCCTCCCATTCCCCAAAACTCAAGCATGAGAAGATAAAAAATAATTCTGTAGAGGACCTCTTCATTATCCATTCCCCTCCTTCCCCTCTGGGCTGAATATGAAAGTCCTTGGGTTTGCAGGAGAATTCCTTCTCCCAGGGGAGAAAATTGCTGAGCAAATGGACAAGCCAATCAGATAAGCCTAACTTCAGCCGGGAGCCTTCTAACACCTGCGGTAAACAGAGAAAGGTTGAGCCCAGAAAATTTCAGAGATGGAAGCAGAGGCCTGATCAAACTAAAATTAAATCTCTCTATCAATGAAGTTTTCAAAGAACAAATAACTTTTTTTTTTAAAGATTTTATTTATTTATTTTCGAGAGAGCATGTGAGTTGGGGAAGGAGCAGAGGGAGAAAAACCAGCAGACTCTGCCCACTCAGCGTGAAGCCCCAGGTAGGGCTCAATCCCAGGACCTGAGCAATCACAACCTGAGCCACAATCAAGAGTCAAACGCTTAACCAACTGAGCCCCCCAGGCACTCCCTTTTACTCTTTTAAGCCAGACTTACATATTTTTTTTGTTTGCTTGTTTCTTACAACCAAAATCATCCTAACTGGTACACAGACCTATTAAGCCACATGAGATGTTTTAATGTGAACATCTACAAGCTATTTAAACTAAAAACTCATAGGCACATAGCCTTAGTTTTATGATTTTTTGTTACAAAGTGTCTACTTGCATGATTTACTTAGGATTTTAAGTAACATTCACACATTTTATAGAACTTGTGACCTAAAATGAACCGTAATAAATCAGATACTACACAAGAAAAGTTGCAAGTTCACAGGTCTTATTATTTTTCTGTGTGCCAAACATAAGGTCATTCTCTTTAGGGTGTAGTATTTTTTTTTTCTTTGTGGTTAAATGATTTTTTTTAAGTCCTTCATAGTTCGTTATTTTGTTTCATTATGTATATATGTATATAAAGTTGAATTTGGTAAACTGTAGTCCTAGCCACTGCTTTTTTTGTTTGTTTCTGGACTACAGACTTTTTTGGGAAGTCAGCAACTCAAGGGAGAGTGAGAATACTTTGAGACTATAGAACAGTATTTCTAAGTGCTTGCTACAATCAATTAGCTTTTCGCTCTTCATTAAGCTTTTGAAAAATGATTTGTTCTCACAAGATTAATGTGGAAAATATAATTATTTGAAAACAAGGGTACTGTACTTAAATCTGACATATTTTGACCACAAAGTTAATTGATTACTAGATATTCAATTAACAAATGCAATTCATTATTTAGCCAGTTAATATGTAACTAAAAGGTAGCAACAAAGTAACAAACAGATAACACAAAAGGAGCCCTGCAAATGTTTTAGCAAAGGAAAGGTGGCAGTTGTAACAAGTATAATACCTAACTAGGATGTTGATGTTTCCTGTGGGAAGAGAAGATTCATCAAGGTAAGCTCTGCTGACCCTAGATCCAGTGAAAGAAGAAATACAGAAGACTGAATTAATGGATTATTTGTTCAGATATTGTTGATGCTGTCTTAATATTCTATTTTCAAAGGATATATGAGGAAGACTTTTTTTTCCCCTTAAGCTGTACCCAACTTTCAATTTGGTAGACACTGCTTTTCAAATTGAAGCAAAACATTTAAAGAGAGCATCTAATTCTCCCTGATCTCACCAGAATTCAGAAACTAATGAGTGTCCTTATTTTCCACGACCATACAGTTATTTTCATAGGCTCAATAAGAATTTCCCCTCTCTTGTTACTAGAAAATTATTGGACAAATCAATTGTGTAACCAAAGCTATCCCTATAATATATTTGAAAATGATTTTCATTTAATCAGGAATGACAGGCAACTACTGAGGGACAAGGATTGACTTTACATGTAGAAGTAATGTTTATAAGTGTCCCCCAAGAAAACTAGCCTAACACTTGGCTGATAGGTTCCCAAAGTTATGAGATGGCGAGAAAGGTCACCTTCAGTCAGGACAGGAACCCTAGCAAATGCTCGGAGCCTCAACCAGACAGAAATTCACCCAATTACACAGGTACTAAAGATGAAATGTGTTGGAGAGTTTCCTGGTTTTGTTTTCCTAACCTCACAAAAGTAAGTAACAAGAGGCTTTTAAGAGTCCAATCTAAAGTTTTTTTTAAAAATTTCTCAATCACCTCAATAACTCATGGTTCTAGATTTGCAAACTCAAGAAGGCCTCTATGGCCAATTAACATTCTCACTGCAGCACTTCTTCTTTTTTTTTTTTTTTTTTTGGATGAAGAATTACCTTTGTAAATTACTTACGCTTTCAGGAGAAAGACTACAAAGAAAAACTGTCAAAAATCTGAAAACGAGCAAAAAAGATACTGAATGTTTTCTGCTGAAACACTGGACCCTGCAGAGATTCTCTGATCTTAAGAGGTGTTTTTATTCACTCAGTTATTTTAAACCCTGAAGGGATAAAAGCTAAGTTGTTAAAAAAAAAAAATCATAATGCAAAATATTCCTGATCATGGCACTACAAATGAGTTTTTTCAGTAAAGAATATATATCTTGATAAGTTAAATGTCCATAACACTAATTGTCATTGAACCATCTTTAGTACACAAATCGAAGAAAAAAAGCTCTGGGATGGACAAAAGAATGCCTCCCTATTTCAGATTGATTTAGATGCTAAACTGAAAAAAAGTCAAATCTATAAATACAATAGACTTTGTTTAAAATATTTGTGGGTGGTGGGGGCACCTGCGCAGCTCAGTTGTTAAGCATCTGCCTTCTGTTCAGGTCACGATCCCAGGGTCCTGGGTTTGAGTCCCAAATGGGGCTCCCTGCTCAGCGGGAGGCCTGCTTTCCCCTCTCCCGTGACCCCAGCTTATGTTCCCTCTCTCTTGCTTTCCCTGTCAAATAAATAAATAACATCTTAAAAAAAAATATTTGTGGGTTGTGAAAAAGTTAGAGGTAACTAAAAGGTTCACAAGCAGTGACTGGGTAAATAAAGAATGGGGTATCTATTGTGAAGGTCTGTGGCCAGTAAAAGGGATGTGGACTGCAATCGAGTAATACTGTAACCCCATTTTTATTAAAAATTTGATTTACATATCTTTATCAAAATGTATGTATAGTTGTATTGGGCTTTTGTGGGGGAGAAGAGTATAAGGGTCTACTTTTGGGGGGAGGTTTCTTGGATCACTGATGGCTATTATTTCTGATGATGTTTGCTTCCAATTTTTTCTGGAATAAATGTTTTAATATTAATCAAATATACCTTTAGAGGAAAATGACTAGAATTAATTTAAAAATTTTATTTCCCAATCCAAATAAGAGTATATTCATTAATAAAATGGGGGGAAACATCTCTGTATTTCCTGGGTAGCTCCCATACCTCTTTCAGCCATCAGTTCTCATTTTTACTTTCAAGAGCCCTCCCTCTCAGCTTCACCTGGCTTGTTCCAATCTGAGGCAGACAAGATTAAGATCTCTTACTAAACACTGCCACAGGCCCGTTTACGAGCCCCTCTTAAAACTTTTCATAGCTATAATTGGGGTCAACATCAAATCAATGTTTCTTTCCCCCACTAGATGTAATTTTTCTATGTATCTTATTCACTGTCGTGTCCCAGATGCTTATGCATACTGCATCCTAAGAGGTGCTCAAAATACATATATAGCTCCCTTGCCATATACACTGAGTGACTCTTAAAATATGCTAGAGTGGGACACGTGGGTGGCTCAGTCGGTTAAGCATCTGCCTTGGGCTCAAGTCAGGATCCCAGGCTCCTGGGATAGAGTCCCATGTCGGACTCCCTGCTCAGTGGGGACCCTGCTTTTCCCTCTGCCTGCTGCTCCTCCTGTTTGTGCTCTCTCTCTAACAAACAAGTAAATAAAGTTTTTAAAAAAAATTTTTTTTAAGTCTTTAAAAAATATATGGTAGAGTAAGAAGTACTTTATGTCTTATCAAAGAGAAACAAACCTAAATCCAATTAACTTAAGTCTCTTTATAAGTCTGATTATAGGAGAGATGAATAACAGTTGCCTTTCCCTCAGGGAATAGATTTTTTACATATGTAATATTTTAAGGGATATAATTTGGCCTATAATGCATTGGTATGAAGCAAATCACTGTAATGGAATTTTATTGTACTGTGTAATGTCGTGAAGTGAGAACAAAGGAGTCACACTGTGTCTATACATTACATGCAGAGGGTTCAAGGACATTCATCTATAATTCAACATGCTCAAAATCATGAAAATATTACATTTGATATTTGCAACATTGATTATAAAATCTGAACAAACAATAAAGGGCACTTGAAGGTCTTGAAATTTCAATATTTGCAGGCCATGCAAATAAACAGAATATTTTCTGTTGAGATCGCTCCCCAGGAACCAAACAAATGTACACTGAATCCTATTACAGCACTACCACATGAGAGAAGCGACCACCAATCTGGCTTATAAAAATGTTCTTCCAGTCACTTTGAACCCTTTTGTTCACGATTAGTTTCTATTATAGTGATACATTACAGTGATAACTAATAAGACTGAGGCTTTAGAATACAGGTTAGTCTAACACTTGGTTCTGCATATATAATCTCGTTATAGTCTGGATTTAGGGTGGACATAAATATCACACTATCTTAGCTTCCCTTTCTAGGCAATGCATGGTTAAATCTGTGCCTTGGCATCCTTGATTTTGGCACCATGAATTTCACTGAAGAAAATGGGAAAACTCCAGCACCCACAGAAAGTCACTTCTCTAATTTCTAAAAATAGGCAAGCAAACCTCTTAGATTCAAAGAAGTCAATGAAGAAATTTCTCAAGCTACAGAGAAAAGCAAAGAGAGAGAACAAGGGAGAGAATATTATTAACCATTTTGTTCAATCAACCTGAGAAAGAAAATGAATACTAAACATCCTGGGAACATTTGGCAATTTGGTTGAGAATTCACATTTCTAAGGAATAAAAATAGGAAAAAAAATCAACTTTACACAATTTTATATAACGATAAATACATTACTGACAAATTGCGACTTGTTTAAAATGATTATGCGATTTTCAGCAAAAATTTACTCATATGCTGCCCTCTGTTATCATATCATATACAGGCTGAGTGTAGGATAATCATCACTTTTACCATCTAGTGGCCCCCCCAAAGCAAATGGAGAACTGGATACTCCTACACCATCAAAAAGATCTTTTTTACTCCTGTTCCCCTTCATTTTTCTTAAGAGGGCCAATAAAAAGGAAAATGGCAAAATTTCTATCATGAGATTTCCCAACCCCTTTCTCTACCCTCAAGAAATCCTTCATAAATTACCATGAATTTCACATATAGCAATTAAAAAAAAAAGGCAAAATAAATATCCATACAGGATCTTCAATTAAACCTCCATTTTAAAAGGAGGAAGATAAAGTTCAATGTTAAAAGCCTTTGTATCTCTCATATATATATATGTATATATATATATATATATATATATATATATACACATACACACACACACATATATACACACACACACAATATATATATAGATACTATATATATGAGATACAAAGGTTTTTATATGTATATGTATATATACATATATATGAGAGATACAACGGCTTTAATATCTATATGTATATATACATATATATGTATATATGTGTATATATATATGTAATTTTTTTTTAAAGATTTTATTTATTTGACAGAGAGAGACACAGAGAGAGCAGGAACACAAGCAGGGGCAGTGGGAGAGGGAGAAGCAGGCTTCCTGCCAAGCTGGGAGCCTAATGCAGGGCTTGATCCCAGGACCCTGGGATCATGACCTGAGCCGAAGGCAGAAACTTAATGACTGAGCCGCCCAGGCAACCCCTCTTATTTATATTTTTGCCTTTAATATCATCATATCATACGTTCCTTCAAGACTTGCCTGAATGCTTCCCAAATTCAATTCCCATAACAAAGTACACTTAAGATCATTTTCTTCATTGGAAACTCTTCTAATGTACAGTTAATGTACAGAGTGTGAGGAGAGTAAGAAAATGGTCCAAATAGGACAAGACCACTTAAGGAAGACATTGGAGGTAAGTGTGTAATATTTGAGAATACACTAGATACTACAGATAGATACACTATATCTATCTAACTATATCTATATCTATATATAGCTAGATCTATATCTATGTATATTTATAGATACACTATCTATATCTAATACTTGAGAATACACTAGATACTACAAATAGATACTACAGATAGATACTAAATACTACAGATAGTTACAATGGTTTCTACAGATCAACAAGTGTGAGAACCAGATCTGTAGAGGATTCTAGGGAAACTGAGCTGGTAGGGAAACAAGTAACCATGATGAATATTAAAATGAGACCTCACATGATAAGAAGAGATGGAAAATGATAGGAAAGACATTAGATTCTACCATAGATATTGACAAAATACCCTTTTTTTGGTATAACAAATTGTGAGGGTGTGAGCCCATAACTGATATCATTTTTAACCCTGAATATAGTTTAATTAAAATTTAAATACAAATACTATTAAAGCTTAATATAACCTTTCAAAAATTGACTTATTATAAAATATTAAGTGAAAGTAAGTCAATCAGGGAAATCCTTAAAGGCTTTTAAGTTAAAGTCAATCAATCAGGGAATCATTCAAAAGCTTTTTTAAAAACTACTTCAAGAATTATTAAATATAAAGACTTTTTCAAGCAAATGTTTTCCATAAAGTATTGATATTAGCAATTTGAATATTCAGTTCTTTTTAAAAGTCAAGTTGCCCACCAGAGAGTCTAATACACACCATCTGTTATGTCAGAAGCAAGTTTTTCGTCCATTTTAAATCAGACTTCTATGACCATAACTCACAGAAAAAGGCACTGTTATGTGAGACTTATTCAGTTTAATTCCTATAGTTACCAAAAAAGAAAGAAGTTACTATCTGCTGAGTAAAAACTATTGCATGTCATTTACATTTGTCATTAAAAAACAATTTTTACAACTTTGTTTTCAAAGCCAAATTACCCAACAATATACTGAACATTTCCCATGCATCTGTTAATTAGTTTTTATGCAAATATCGGTCTGCATATCAACTATTTCTATTCAGAATTTCTTTTTAACCATGTTTAGCAAATCTGTATAAAACCCTGATTGCATGTATAGCAAGCACAAAACTGGTTTTAAAAATTACAAGCACTATGCACTAATTTTTATGGATAAGTCCTATGGTATGTTTTGTGTTAAGATTCTCTCCCATATTGTATGTCGTTTATTTTTCCAGAGTCTAGTTACAACCTGAGGGGCAAGCACTAAATTATTGTCTCTTTATCACATTATTTCCAGTGCCTGCAACAATGAGAAACCCATATTCTTAAGCTCACATGCTAATAAAACTGGGATGGTTTTCACATGCTGGGAAAACCAAGATGGTAAAGATCACTGTCTCTTATCTGAAACCCCAGTGGCCAGATGTATTTTGAAATTCAGAGTTTTTCATATTTTAGAAAGATAACAGAGTGCACATTTTACACCTTATCATCAAAAACAATTAATGTGTCTGGAGAGAGGCATGAACGTTCCCTCTATTAACAAACTCATGTCAGGTCAGTCTGCCAATAATGGGCCAAACTTAGTAACTTTGTTTCAAGTTTCAGAGTTTTTTTTGGATGTAGAAATTCTGGATAATAAACTGTGTCTGTGTATAGACATACACACACACATACTTATATGTATTTTAACTTTTAATATCTGAAAGGATAACTCATGAGGCCACATTCTGTAATTAAGGAAACACATAATTGATTATAAGAAATCCATACATAAACACTTTAACATTAAGTCCTATACGTTATGCTTTCCTAATGACCGTATCCCCCCCAAAATGAGAGAGAAGGCTGCAGGACATAACGAACATTTCCCATCACAGTAAAATTAGATAAATGTGTCTTAACAATGGAAAGAACAAAAAGTTGTCTAGTGATCCTTTACTCAAGGTTCAACAAGGATATCTTCTTCTTCAGCATATAAATAAATTTAAGAACTCTACCGGACTTCCTGGATTTACTTGAGCCACACCTGTACAAGCAAAGGCACAATGCTAGGACTTTCCTAGTTTACATTTTCATTTGACTTGAGTCCAACAGACAAACACATTCATTCTTTTGGACAGAAGAGCAACAGAGCAATCAATTGAAAAAAGAAATTAAAAATGGAAAGACGTTTTGATTTTACTTTCTAAAGACCAAAAGATAAAAGGCTTGAGAAATGGCAGGAGATGGGGGTGGGGGGAGAACATTATGACATTATTCACAGAGTGGCAGAGTGAAACAGAAGTCAATAATCACCTAACTCACACTCTCACTCTGCAGATGAAGAAACATAATTTTATACGGATTCCCTCATTTCCATGCGGAACCAGAAGCAGAGCTAGGTTTTCTGACTTTTTCCTCTAAGCCATTTGGGTCTTGTGATTTTGCGAATCGAGCTTTGTTAGGGCAAGAAATTTCTGATTATTTTGCAAGAAGATTCAAATCGTTCTTCCTCAAAATATTTCTGAAGATAGAAGGCACAGAGAAAAGTTACTGTCCCAAAGCAATCCAAAGCCACCAGGCATCCCTCCTTCCACAGGTTACAACCTTGTCTTGTAATTAATATGCTTAAGTTTACACAGGCATTTCTTCATCTGTTCTATTTCACCTTTCATCATTATTAACAGAAGAAATGATTCACATTCTAAAAGTACAGCACTGTTTTCAAAGGAAGACACTTAAGCTATAACAAAAATATCTCAAAGTTTTTTGGCAATGAATAAATATTCCATCAGTTAAAGTACTGGTTAATAATCAGCACACACACTCACTTCTGTCCCATCAGCTTTTCAAGAAACAAAAATAGGTCTGACATTTATAAAATTACATAGACTAACAAGAAAAAATGAAACTAAGACCAAACAAAATTCAGTTAAAATTCTTACACAATCTGTACTGATGACTTTAAGTTTCATGTTTTTTAAAAACATATTTCAATTTCAAAAGAGGAAATATACCCAGATGCTTGCCCTAATTAGTATCAGACAAACAGTAACACTTCTTAATACCTTAGTTAAAATGTTTCATGTGTGTTCCCTTCAAGAAGGCATTTAAAATGTTTGTAGGACAATACGTGCATACTCAAATGCTTCTAGCTCCTTTCTTCTCCCACTTTCCATCCTCAAATAAATTCTGCTCAGATAACAGTCATTTGATAAAAGATAGGAAACATTTCAAGGCCAGGCATCATAGTCCTAATATACACTTTTTTTCTCCTTTTAAAACCAATGTGTATTTTTATGTTTAAAGTCTGCAAGGTGACAAGAAGGATACTGAAGTTGTCGTCAGTGTCAAGAAAGAGTCCAAATTTATCGGTAAGAATGGGAAGGAAAAACATTTGAGACAGCTAATCTGGAAGAGATGGATGGAAGATGCCTACAGGAGATATTCATACCTAACTGAAAAGAAATAATTCAGAAAGAGTTACCTTGCTCAACTGCAAAGAGAAATAAAATGTATTCCCATAACACTCGTAAAATTATAGTCATAAAAATGGACCATCTACCTGGGCCCCTTATTTTATATTTTATTTATATAGTTAAGGAAATTAAGGTGCAGAGAGGTCTATCAATTTGTCTTTGGTTACAAAGCACTTGATCCAGAATTTAGGTCTTCTTTGATCCAAATGCCTTTCATTAAATTTCACCATTTTCACGATTATTTAACTGTATTTTTTTTAAGATTTTATTTATTTATTTGACAGACAGAGATCACAAGGAAAAT